TTGCCGAACCTGGACCAGGGCTGTTCTGCAAGAAACCTGGTAGCCGTATAGCCGGTGGAAATGCGCTTGTACCGCCGATGAATGTAGGGCCAATTGAGGGACGGCTGATAGATGCTAATCAAGGCGTGTTCCTGGGTCCAGGTGACTGCGTGGTCGGAGTCTGTCAGGATGACCCATGTAGCAAACTCGTCATAGTTGCCGAAGTGATGCCACCATCTGAGGGCCGGCTCCGCATTGATAAACTGTCCGTGCTGAATACCCAGTAACTTGGCCCTACGATTGTGTTCTCGACTAGGATAAGTGATGCTGGTGCTTCCAATGTATACGTCCGACTGCGGGTTGACGGAGCGTGGAAGGTCCGGACGGAGTTCGACTCGCTGCTTCCAGTACACTGCGTTGGGCTGCAAGAAGTGGGTGAATGTGTACATGTTCGGGTGGATGCGCAAACGTCGGAGTCGGCGCCTGAGTTCCGTGAGCGCATGCGTGGGACGACCATAGTGATGAATCATCAACAGCGTGGACATTGACTCGGACCACATAGATAGTTGCTTGTTGACCATCGGCATGTTGAGGATTTGGCGACTCGTGACGATGATCAGATAGAGAACCTGATAATACTGGTAAGATGCATGCACATCGAGGGAGTCCCCGAGTCTGATTGCAATAAGCGCAGTGATGTAGGGAAGGAAATAATCGGTGCCATGCTGCAAGCTCACTGGCCAAGACGGCTCAGGAATACCATAGTGTCTGGCTGCACTGTAAAGCTCTGACCGTTCATACTTGCTGTAGAGTTGCAAAAGAAGCACCGTCTCTGGAGATTGAATGACCGGCATGGCTTAGCCATGCATCCAACGCTCGAGCACTGAACGATTAGTTGGGTCAACTGGAAACAGCGGAAAAGCCCCGACCCGCGACCCCGAGAAAAACAGGAAAACGAAAAAGAAGGAGAAAAGGCAGCTGATGGCCTCAGGGCAAGGTGCAATCGTGATGAGCAGCGGGCTTTTTGTGCCAGTCGTGTCAATGGTGCTAACTTCCCTCCTCGTGAGCGCTACCGCCGCTCCCCTCACTTGCCATACATGTACAGAACCGTGATGAACTGCAGGAGCGCTCGCTTCGATCCCTTGCTCACTAAGGAGATTGGGGCCCCCCATTTGACTGCAATGGTTTTCAACTGCTCCACTGACTGTGTCGGATGCCAGCTCCTGCTTGATGAGATCAAGGTAGGTCGCTTGGTTGGACAGCGTGCGTTCGTGTAGCCATCCCTTGAAGACCTTGTCCGTGAGACTGGTGGGAAGTGGTACCTGTTGACCTTTGGGATTTCCTTGGCGTAGAAGTTCTGAGTCTAGTGTGATGTCCGGGGCAGTCTCCGGGGTCTTTCTCTTTGCCGGTCGTCGCTTAGGGGCTGGATCAGCCTCTGGAGATGGAACTGGTAGGGGAGGTCCTTGAGCATCTGAGTTGGCCGCATTGATGTAGAGGGACTGGTCAGAGCGGCCGGGCGTGGGGGTCCAGGACGCGGCATTGGAAGGTGACGAGGATGGCAGCTTCTTATCCGGTGTAAGAGTGATGCCCTTGTTCTTGTAGCGCTCCAGCTGTTGTTCCAATTCGGCAATTTTGTGGCGAGTGAGGTTCTCCTGCTTTGCGGGCTGCAACGACTCCATGAGATCCACGATTTTGAGCGCAAGTGGCTCCATAAACTGCATAGCCTCATTGCGCTTATCCGGCGCATTGTCCGCGTGGAGAGAGCGAGCTGTCCTGTCGATGTCGACCTCCCTGCCTCTCAATGCTTTGAGAATGGATGTCAATAAGACTGCCTCGGCTATCGTCTGAGCCATGACTGGTGTGCTGTATCGCCCATTTGACAGCGCTCGTAATGCGTGATCTTCTGCTCCTCCTCGAAGAAGTCGTGTCAGTGGAAGATCCAGGATAGCTGTTCCTGCGAGCCCGACCCTTCTGGACCACTGAGTAGGCTGAACGTGACGGTACAGCTGCAGACCACGGACCTCCGTCTTGTCGAGGAAGATGTCGTCAGATTGGAAGGTGCTGGGGAGTAGCTGCGAGTATCGAGGCTGAGTGTACTGCGTTGCATCACCTTGGCCTAGAGGTGCCCGAACTGGAGGTTGAACTGGCGGTGCTGGTGGTGGAGGACGAGGACCTGTCTGCATGTGGTTTGTTCCACCGCCGTGATAGTTGTAAAACTGACCGGGAGGTTGAGGAGGAAACTGGTGAGCCATATGTGGAGGTCGAGGAGGATTGACGCGAGGCGCTGCTTCCTCCCGAGGTTGATGTTGCAAGGGTTCCATCCGATTGGAGCTCAAATATACCTCCTGCTGGGACTGCGGAACTGACCATGATGGAAGATACGAGGATCCCGGATGCGAAGAGGAGGAGGGTGCCGATGCCGCCGGCCATGAATAGTTCCACTGAGAAGCCATCACGAGATGGGAGTTTGCCGTCAACACTGCTAATGGGTTAAAAGCTAGGGATACGCCACACATTGCCGAGACGGCAGACATTGTCAAAACGGCACCCGAATTTCAACCAGGCACAGGGCAGTTTGAAACCGGGAAACAGCAGCAGTCACACGAATCATCAAAAAGGGGGGAAAAAAGAAGAACCCGCAGTAAGGCCAACACATGCTTGAATGAGGCTCTGGCGTGCACTTTTTGTCGCAAAATATCGTCGGTGGTCGAAGACGGCAGTGTGGCGAAGTATGCTCTTATTCGCAATGAAACATCATTAATTGTCATTGGTTACAGCAGCTCCTGGTGCAGGTTCACGAGCGGAGGACACCGGTGGGTGGCTTTGCATCGGTAGGCCATGCGAGTCCAACGATCTGACTTGCCTCCGGGATCACCATCCAACACTTGCCCGACACATAGTGGATGACATCAGGACGTTCACTGGAATCCAGGGCCTCAATGCAAGCTTGCTCTCCTCCCGATCGAATCGGCTGACAGGTGCCGACAGCGCGTCCAAACAACAGCAATTGGGCCATGTTAAAAGACATGCTCCAGTTCTGGCTCATCGTGCGAGCAATTTCTTCAGCGTCATAGTCGGCGTGTCCAGTGATCTTCCAGCCCTGGGCGTAAAAGGCTGGGCACTCCGAGGAGTGCTGCCGGGAAGGATGGATCTGTCGGCTCCGCAGGATGCCTCGAGTACCGCCGACACTGGATGCGTGAGTCCAGAGCAGCATGGGTCGCGTCTTCGTCGGTTCTTTGAGCCGAACTGTGGCGCCAAGGTAGGGGACGGTCAGCATGAACCAGTGCGGGGTGATCTTATAAAAGTGATGTTCCGGGTTGACCTTCGCATAGTTCAGAGTGGAGTGCTGAGACGGTATGCCGGCTGCATTCAAGGTAGCGGCCACATAGTCCATCTGCTCCTGATTGACTGGGATCCCATCGCGGAGATACGGTGCGGCAAGCACCTGAAGTTCGTTCCTCCAGGGGTCAGACTCCGGGTTGGGAAGCAGGATCAGCGGTGGGTGCACCTGCGGATTTGGGCGTAGTTGCATGCTCCTCGAGGACGACCCCACATCTGGGTGAGCACCTGTGGCGATGGGGCACTGCTTCTGCTACGCGGAAGTGGAGATCGATTGCTTCTCGGTCGTCGGGATGAGGCTTTAGTTGCCGTAGGCGCCCGGGATGAGGACTTGGCTGCTGTGGGCGCCGACGCGGCAAGATCCGATGCTGCCGTGATGGAGTTGTCCGATGTTGAGTCCCTTCGGGAGATCGGTGGTGGCGTCCTGGAGCGAGCTCGACCTCGCCGCTGTGGGGGCACTGACTTGGAGTAGGGGGAAGCGTTGTGGGAACGTGACCGATCTCCCTCCGTTGTGTGGCGTGACCTGGATGGTGGGTTGGGCGGTGGAAGCATCTGACCTGATGGGGTTGCCGTAGGGATCGGTGCGAGGGGTCGGTGCTGTGGTCATAGGGGGTCGGTGCTGTGGTCATAGGTGGGCATGCTGTAGTTGAAGCTGTTGGGGTAGTTGGCGTCATTGGAGTCATTGGAGTCATCGGTGTGGCCGGGCGTGCTTTCACCAGGATTTGCGGCAGGGGGCCAGCTACTGATGCAGGCCAGACATGCAAGGTAGGGATCGATGCCGAGGCGTCGCCGGGAGCAAGAGCCGGAACCGCAGGTTTGGTAGCCCTTGAGGTGCTGGACACCGCGCAAGATATGCTAGAAGCTGGTGTCACAAGCGCACTCCTGCTCGGTGATGCTGTCTGGTGCACTGGTGACCTGGGCGGCGTAGGGCCGGCAGTGTTCCTGGATGCCTTGGTCATGGGGCCTGCTGAGTTCGACATCGGGCCTGCGTTGGGCCGTGGCATCTGTTGCCAGCAATTGCGAGCCAATAACCAACTGGCGGTGTCTTGGAGTCAAGCCTGATATGTCGGGTAGTCTGGCAACCCGTCAAGTGGAGAAGTCAAACGTGAGGTGATCTGGGGTGCTGAAAAGTCCGGGACATGTCCAAGCCTGTGGTGAATGGTCAACGGCGAAAAGTCAACAGGGGGATTTCCAGAGTCGCGAGCGACAAGGTCCGGTGGCTGTCTGAAGAAGGTGTCGGTACATGGGTCAAAACAGGTGCCCGCAAAGGGGGTCAAGACACTGACCGAAGCCCGGACGCAGTGCCTAAACACACTTGATATGAGACGGCACCAATGCAAGAGTGCATCCCCAAGTATCTGAAAAATGGAGTTTCGTCAGCTAGCCTTCCCGATCTGTTCGCTCGCCGCGGCTACTCGTCAGTGCCCATGACTACCGCGACGAGGTACTAAGAAAGGGGTCGGTTTGCTGGCATGGGCATACTCCAATCAAGAGAGAGAGGGGCACGACCGCAGAACCCCTTAGGAACAGGGGGGCCACACACACACACACACACACATTGCGCCCCAGCTCAACCCACCTCTAACAAAAACGTCTGAACAAGTCGCCAACAACTATCTTTTCAAAATGAATAAGGTGGTCAACAGATTCGAATTCATCAGGTCCCCCCCCGGCCAAGTGGCTGCCGGAGTTTCAGCTTGGCCTGCCCATGGCCTCGGCAAAAGAAAGGTTCAGCGTGGAGGAAAGGAGAAGTTGTAAGATTTGACAGAGCTCGGGCTCCTTCTCTCTGGGGCGCACCATGCTTTTCAACGCGGTTCCAGGGAGCAAGGGAGTTGAGAGGCAGGGGCTGCTCCGGGCTGCTTAACTGACTCATTCTGAAAATGATTCCTTCCTTATTTACAACTTATATCGCAAACCCGAAACTGGCCATTCGTGAACTTATCGTGACGAGCTGAGTAAGCGCCGGTGCCAAAACGCGACGCTTGCTCGGTTTGTCAAATTCTCCGAAGTCTCCGAGTTCCCGGGTCCATCCGGATCCTCTCCTTTTCTTGGTGGGTTTTTCGTCCTTTTTCCTCCGGTCCTTTTCTCGGTGCCCCGGCCGCTCCACCGGGCTCTTCATCGCTTGCTGATGCAGCGACCCGAAGTCGAAGCCTCGAGAAAGAGAGAAAAGAGGAAATGAAAACGGAGAGCTTCAGTGAACAGAATGGAAAACCAACATGGAAAAAAAAAAAGCATGGAACAAACATGCACTGGTCCCTGTCTGTCCAGTCTCGCCCAAAACCCGCACGTTGGCATCGCACCTTGCCAGAAGTAGTGCGCGCGGACCTCCTCGGCACCGCCCTGGGAGTCTCGAGTCGGGCCGATTGAGCTTACACTTGCGTCACGTAGCCTGAATGAAGCGGATCGCTTGGCAGCTCTCCGCCTGCATCCCACGAGTCCCGCCTGCGCCCCTAGCCGGTGTGGCAGCTTCCGCAGAAGCTTGGCGATGAAGGCCCTGCCCCCTGCAGGGCAAGTCGCGGGGAAGTCCAGCCGCATCCTTACTGCGAGCCCCCGAGATTGTTCCGGAGTGACCGGAGTCGGATTGAAACGATGTATCCAAACTCAGTTAACTCCAAACTCCGTGCAAACTCTTCAGAAGCCGGGCGACTCCTGACTTCGGCGGATCGCCAAAAGCCGCTCGCCGGTGTCTTCGAGCTCATCGTCCTCGAAAGGCCTTGGTGTCGGAGCTTGGAATCGAAGAGCCATGTCATCCATGTCACATTTCCAGCTGGGCTGCAGCTGCTGACACATCATTTCCTGGGCCGGGAATCACCGGGAACAGTATGAATGCCGGAGTATGAATGCCGGAGTATGAATGCCGGAGGCCAACTCTTCATTCTGAGGCGCGTAGACGAGAACACCCAAAGACCACCAGTCAGCCGAGTTGTCGTGGTAATGGGGAGGATCAATCATCTCAGGCGCCATATAATCTGGAGTCCCAGCCTGGAACGAGGGCACAAAAGACTCAAGGCGATTGAGCACTGCGCCTGTGTGTTGGTCTTACCCACCACAAACCGGGCGAGGCCCATGTCACAGATTTTCCCGTAACCTCTGGTGTCGAGCATGATGTTCCTTGGACTTGCGTATAGCATGGCGCTTTGCACGCTTTGCATCGCTTGCCGAAGGGCTCTGGCTTCAGATCCCGATAGATGATCTTTCTTTCGTGCAAATGCTCCAGCGCTGCGATCACGCAACCTGCATAGAAGGCCTGAAAGCCGACGGCCGGACCCACGAAGGGCTTGACCCAGACCACACAGACCACACAGACCACACAGACCACACAGACCACACAGATCGGCTGAGCTGCCGAAGTGGAACCCCGCGGCTCGTCGTTCAGGAAGATCTCCTGACTCTCACCCAAGTTCGTCGTTTTCCCTGTGTCAGGCAACCGTAAAGCTGAATTGCACGGGCATACCAGGGTACCATGAGTACCATGAGGCCAGGATTGTCTCCAAGCTGCTTGATGGGAGTTGAACATCCCATAGAGATCACCGCCCAAGGCGGCTTCCAGGAGAAAGTACACGAACTGCTGATCCTGACCCGAGCTGACTACCCCAGACTCTCCACTGGCCTTTCAATGTCAGGCCAAGACCTCTTGCAAGTCGCACCGTGGCACCCGTTCCAATCCAACATCCTGAAAGCTGGTCCTTCAACGTCCTGTGCAAACGTACAATGAAGTTGCTGTCGAGCATGTTCAGCAAATCCCGCTCCCAGCAAAGTGATTGGCAAGTCCCCATCCGCGCGGAGTGACCCTTCCTGGCAATTGAAATACAAAGCAATATGAAGAATATGAAGAATGTGAAGTAATATCAAGTAACTCAATGCTCGCAGTCAGGCTGCGAGACTCGCTTGAGCGCATATCTGCGGCGTGCTTCATCGTCCTGCCGCAAAAGCTTCGGCGCGCGGCTTCACAAAGCGTCCATGTCCTTCACAAGGAAAACGGTGCCGAACGCACCCTGCCCTAGACCTGCGAAGAAACAGGGCAAAGCTCTGAAAAGCTGATGGTGCAGCCGAGCTGCGGCAAAGCTCGTGCAAGGAATTGAGATCACTCTTACATTGAGCTTTCTGAAGAGAGCGGCAGGTACTCCCCTTTTGTTGTTCCCACTGACCTTGCTCGATGTGAGGCGAGCAATGCGAAGCAATGCGTCAAAGGCATCAAATGCAGGGGAAGTTGCTGGCATCGCATTCCACACTGGGCAGCAGGGATGCATCACTACCGGCAAGGCCTTACAGAGAGAGCTCCCAATCCAAGTCTGTTGGGTTCTCTTCAATTCTCTACGAGTGACTGCTAAAAATATCGCAAATCAGATCTCCATCAAAGGTCAAGCATTTGAGACCTCCGGGCCCTGCGTCCACGCTCACCTCACGATGCAAACCCGTTCGGTCACACGCGCGCGACGAAGCCGCACCTCGGAGATGCACTGGCCGGTGACTTTCGCCTTCATCAAGGACCGCTCACCGAAGCTGCTGCCTTGCGCACAAACTCAAACAGCGACCCCGGCCACCCCGAGTACCCGGGGCCTCGCGACAGCTCAGCAATCTTGCGGCCTAGGAATTCGTCGGATAGTCAGGGGTGTCGGGGTCTCGGGGTCTCGGGGTCTCGGGGTCTCGGGGTCTTGGGGTCTCGGTCCAGTCGCATGCTTGGGCCGTAGCAGGTGTGCTGGTCTTCCTGGCTCAGGATGGCAGAGCCGGAATGGATTACATACCTTGCACCAGGGCTAAAACACCGTGTGCAGTCTCAACCCACCAATGGCCAATGACAAACGGGGTGTGCCAAGCGTCCAAAGCGGCTTCTGGCGCACTTTGCCTGGTCAGGTGAAAAGCCTTTCTGTGCTGACTCAAGCCTCTGAGAGCCTTGGAAAAGCACCCGTCGCCCAGGCTCGAAATCCACCAGGTCCTGTGCGTAGGCCGCCAACTCCATCCTCTGAGACCTGGCACACAATTGCGGGGACACGCAAAGCTAAAGTCACTTATGGACATGGCCTGGCCTGAGCAGTGGGGTCAATGAATCGACCTGACATTGATTTCAAAGCACAGTTCCCCTGGCAGAAGCCAGAAGCTACAAGAGTTCATCCGCATCCTTGCCCTCGCCGACCTCATCCACCAGGTCGCAGTACTCCTTAAACTTCCGCCGGCCATTGTCACGGCCTCGCTCCAGATCTCCATGCAAAGCCCGCATGGAGCGAATTCCGATCGCGGCCTGTGATCTCCTTAAAGACCTTGCGGTTAATGACCTGAAAAGAGAACAAATGGAGATATCAGGAACGTGCCTTGCTGAGCTCTGGACCAGCAGCTGGGTGTCCTCCGCCGCACGGAAGGTGGCCTCTCTCCGGATGTTGTACATCAGGGACAACTCCCCGAAGCTGTCCCCGGCGTGCAAGGCGCTGATCACCTCCGATTGCTCGAAGCTTTCCCCAAACCCAATCGCTCGAAGCGCTCGCGGCTTCGCACGCCTTCTCCCTGGGCTCTGGCTGATCGAGGGAGGCGATGCGGCCTGCGCCGTGCGTCTGCCTTGTGCCTTCGGGGACCGGGACTCGGCCTAGACCGCGATCGCCACGCAGGGACGCCGCCGCAAAGTTCCCGATCCTGGACACAGCGGCGCTAGAAAGCAAGAGGGAAATGTTGGTGCCGGCCTGTCTCCGAAGCTGGGACTCCTGCGAAAGCCTTTCCTGAGCTGAGCAACTTGGGATGTTTGGGAGACAGCCAAGTGATGCCCGGGTTCGCTTTCTTTTCCATTTCATCCTCCAGGCGAGGATCCTGCCGCACATGCGGTATGACGCTGCCCTCTCATACTCTCCACATGCTCCACTCATTCAGCCTTCGTCAAGACAGAGCAGCTGCGATTGATCTTCTTCTTTCTCTTGTCTACCACAGGTATGTGCAGCTTCATCAGAAAGTCCTGCTTCCTGGATACTTGCACCACATTGAGTGCACAGTACGTCCTGCCCAGCTCCTTCTGATGCGATCTGCCAGTGAGAAGGTGGCGGCCGCAGCTGCGGCAGACTTTTGGCCACTCGAGCCGCTGGTGATAACCACTTCGATGCTGCCTTTCCTCCAGCCATGAAACATGATTGCGTTGGTTTCGCACAAGGAGAACTCGGAGTGAGAGAACTGAGGTCCCCACTCAATGACAAAGAACTCGTGGCCCAGGTCCCCGAAGGTGGCAGCTGCCTTCCCCGCCGGGATGCATCGCTCCTCCGAATGGGACACCTAGGATCGAAGAATCGAAAAATCAAAAATCCGAGTCGAGTCGGGAGCCTTTGCGCCAAGGCGCGACATCCTTCATGGCATCCTCGCCGAGCTCGGTTTCATCCACAAAGGCCCTGAAGTTGGGGTTGTGCTTCATGGCGCGGATGATGAACTCCTGCTGCTTCTCCGTGATCTTGCCTTAACGCAAGGATTCCGTTCACATGGCTCGCATGGCTCGCATGGCTTGCCTCCGAACGAGGCATTCTTCCTGGGCACGGAGGCTCTCAAGCTCAATCAAGAGCCCTTGCCGGGCCGGCCACGCTTCCCAATTGCCACGCTTTGCCACGCTTTGCCACGCTTTGCCACGCTTGCCAGGCGTCTTGGGCGACAGAGGAGTGGTTGGCGCCAAGGTTGCGGCTGACGCGCTGCCTGGCAGAGGCCAGTGTGCCCAGGGGCGCGCCCGCCCGGCCCGCCCAGCCCGCCCAGCCCAAGTTCGGAAAGTTCAGCTCCGGCCTCCCATCTCAATGGCCGGTCGCTTTGGGAAGTGGAGGCAAGACTTGAGCCCGGACTCCTCAAAGACCTGAGGCAGTGGCACGCGAGTCTCTGCCCAGGCCCTCCCTAAACCCGTTTCCGACATGCGGAGTTTGCCTGCTTCGACATGGAGAGCGTCACCAGGTCGTCTGGGCCCGCAGCGATGACGGTGGCCATGTGCCTGAGAAGCAATATCCGATGCACACCGCAAGTCTGGGCAGTTTCCGCCAATGGTTCGCCTCTGCTCTGTGACGATGGCACGACCTGCAAACCAAACCTCCTGCAAGGGTCCATCAACCGTCCCCGACCTCCGATGTAGTCACCAGCGCTCAGCAAAGCACCCTCGTGCTCCTGACAAAGGCTGCTTCCACTGAGCCAAGTTCACAAAACGTCCTCGCCCTGGTCATCTCGCACCATCAGCACAGCTTGCCCCGAGTAGATCATGAAAAACGTCGTTCCAAGGTCACCTCGAGAACCCCTCGGACTGTCCGACTGGACCCCAATCCCATCGCAGCCTTGGGTGACAAGCTTCGTGTCTGGCTTCCAAGTATTCTTCTCCAGCAGCTGAGCCACCTGCACAGTCAAGCATCGCAAACCGCCAGGTGGATCGAATGGAGCATTTGGTATCGCTGTATGCCTATTGAGGCTTGGGATAGCATGGGATGGCGTGAGACCAGATTGGGCATGACCTATTTCAGAATGGCAGCTTGCAATGCTTGCAAAAGAAGTTGTGATATTGGCAGATTGGAGGGGCACAAGGAAGACAAAGCGACTTGAAACGGCGATTGCCCGGGTGCCCACAAGCAAGCTGACAGGCCCTTGAGGTCGTGAAACGAGGTGCTCCCTGCAATGTGGAACTGTGCAAAGGTGATCCCGTTGCGCCTTGGGCCACTCGGAGGGTGGCAGCTGCTTCTTGAAGAGTGGCACCTCAGACTCGACGGGAAGGCGCTTGTCTGGAAACGAGATGCGCCTTTGACCGGGCATAAGGTTCTGCCGGGGTCCCGACAGAGCCAAGGAAAGTGACGATCTGCTCAAACTTATCTCGCTCGTCGGTGAAGCTCCTATGGGAAGCGAAGTCATTGAGGGTTACTGAAACTCGAAACTCCGAACTGACCGCGCCTGAAGGAGAACAATCCAGAGATGCCTTCCATGCACGAGGCCAGGCCGCTACAGCCTCTCAAGACTCAGCCGACATCGCTTCTCAACATATCTTGTGCAGCACGGCATCTGCACATACATACACAAATGGGCACGAGAGCAAACAGCGAAGGATGCATGTAGTCTGTGATTCGCACGAGCTATACTCAGCATGATACTTGAATACGCATGCTAAGGCAGGAAGACCTCGCTGCTCGAGCTTGGCTATAAGATTGCTGTCTCGACCCTCGCATGGAAAACCTTCTGCAAAGCGCGCGCACAGTCCAACGGTCGAATAACGGCCCGTTTATGGCACAGCCGGACCTGTGCCCCGGGTGACAGAGAATGTCGGCGCTGCGCAAATTTGGCTGCTTTGCGCTACAAGTGGATCGCCCATCACTTGGAAGGATCAACTAAGCTTGCGCTTCGGGCTTTGCTCAACTGGACGCGCAGAGGTTTGCCGTTCTCTTTGGGACATTGGCTCGCTTGCACAGCGTCCACCTCCACAGCAAGTCGCAGGTGTGAGTGTGCAGGAAGCCAAAGCCAAGGAATATCTCCAAAAGTCCTCCCTTGTGAGCAAGAAAAAGAGGGATTGGGATCGCCGGGGCTAAAAATTGCAAAACCTGCATGAACATGTTTGTTACACAAAGGGGCAGCGTGAAACGACTGAAAGAAAACCAAAGATCACTTTGTGGAGTTCCTGGAGTTTGTATCGCTCAAAAACAAAAAAGGGCGAAACACCATGGCTCTAGGAGTCCGGCAAGCGGACTCCTTCTTGAAGGTGGACACCTTCACGGAAACGCCGCCTCCCAAACATTCCGAGCCGCTTTTTCTTTTTGGCATTAGGGTCTTTGCACTCGCAAGCTGTGCATGGCTCGTAGCTGGGTGCTGGGCTGGAATGTGGTGGCTCGTCAGGAAGCGTCCCCTGTCTCTGTACCGCCTCCTTCGGTAGGGAGAGCCCAGCGCGGTGTACTGTGGGACTTTCCTCCATCTCCGACGCATCCTCCAACGCACTCGCTACCGCCTGCGGAACCTCCTGTGGCGTCTCCTCTGTCGTCTCCTGTGGCGTCTCCTCTGTTGTCTCCTGTGTCGTCTTTCGTGGCGTCTCCTGTAGCGTCTCCTGCGGAGCCTCTGTTGGCACCTCCGGCGCCTCAAACGGCGCCATGGAGGTTGCGGGGATGCCTGAAGTGGACGCGTCCGGAGCTCCGTCAGGCTGACCTTTGGGATCTAAGTTCTGGGTCCGAGCCTCCTTTGGAGCGGCTTTCGCATCTGGACTCCGCTCCCCTGTCCGCACTCTGGCAATTGGATCCACTCGCGGCTCTGGCGATTTCGTCGGGGTGTGAAAGCGTAGAACCGGTCGATCCGTGTGCGGCCGAAGATCCGGCGCTGGTGCTTGCCAGGGAAGTCGGGCGCTGCCTGTCGCTAAAGCAAACCACCTCGCCACTTGGGAGACAAGGCCTGCTTGAAAGGGCACTCCCGGAGCTTGCCTGAAGATCCTGAAGTGGCAAGGCGTTGGCAAAGCGTTGGCAAAGCGTTGGCAAAGCGTTGGCAAAGCGTTGGCAAAGCGGGAAACAGAAATTTCACAAAAGGACCCAACTTCCCAGGTGACAGCGGCGCGCGGAAGTCTGTGTAGACCTTGCGCTTCGAAGCCGCGAGTCTTCAACTTTCGAACTTTTGAGGCTGCGACCGGCCGTGACCTCGAGGCCTGAGCGACCAAATCGAACCCGAACAAGGAGCTGCAGCAAGGGCCTCGACGAAGCGGGCAACGGCGTTCACCTCACGAGAACACGACAGCGGACGTTCACTCGCTTCAACTCCCTATGTCGTTTCAAATCTCCAATCATTTCAACGTTTCGGAGCACGCCTGCGGCCGAAAGGTACCTGCGAGCCGCTTGGGCGCTCGCTCATGCGGAGAGCCACAGAAGCCGCGCCTTGCGAAGTGACGCCCACGGGAACCTGACACAAAGGAGCACGCTGCTTTCCAGATTTCAGAGCGGGCGTTGAGGGACAAGGCCGAGGCAGGTTGGGGTGGCATCGCCTGCGAGCTGTTGGCACCGGCTTGAGAATCATTAGAATCATTAGAATCATTCAGCAAGCTCGGATGCCCGCTGAGCACCACACCTGAACATTGATGGTGGGACTGGGCCTCTGCGGGTACTTGGTGGGACTGGGCCTCTGCGGGTACTTGGTGGGACTGGGCCACTGCGGGTATCTCGGTGGAGATCCTGTTGCTCAAACACAACAAGAGCAACTCATGTTGTGACATCGGAGCATCTGTCCTTGAGCTGCCATGGCGCTGCGCTAAAGGACCTATGGATCAAAACCTGCTCAGCTTGCAACATTTAGCACTTGGATTGCTAAAGCTTCTCAGGTAGAGTCTAAGAGTCTAAGAGGCGTGTGGCCATGCCCATCCTATCTTTCCCGCCGTCTAGCATTTGCCCGAAATGCGGGTGATTCGAGCCGCACAAGCGCAGTCGGATGCGGGAAAAACTCAAGGCCCAGGGCCCGAAAAGGCCCCAACACAAAGCAGCTCAGCAGCTCAGCACTGGACGAGGCGGTTGCCAGGAGCACAAAGATACATACAAACAGAGAGCAGTAGGCATCGGCCTGCCGGCTGAGGGACCGGATGCGGGGCTGCAGGGCGGATGCAGTCCCTGCCTTGGATGCTTCTACCACGCCCACCTGATGGAAGCAGAAGCACTCGCACCACTCACCTGCCCACCTGCCCACCTGGGCCAGAATCCCAGCCAGCAGCACTGCCAAACCGCGGACCTCGGTAAGAACTTGACGAGAAAGAGAAGGGGGAGAAGGGGGAGAAGGGCTCCCACCATGTCAGCTCCCAAATGGGCAAGTGCTCCAAAGAGGTTCATGTTCGAAGCCTCCGGCCACAGCTCGCTTTGAGTCGCTGCTCTTCTCGCGCTGCGCCTCTTCTTCCAACAGCTTGGACTTGCTACTCTGCCAGGTGCAAAGTACCTCCGAGTCAGAGACTGCCTGGGATTCTTGGCCCCAAGGGGTCACCACGCACACGTCTGCGGCCAAATTCACGGCAGTGAAGACGATCATGATCACGCTATTGACCTGCAACTTTCAGCACGCTGAAGCTCCGGCTGACTGTCTCAATTCCCAAGCGACGCATTCCCTTCCCAAGGTGCGGTGGCCATGGCGCGCAATCCAGCCTCGAGGTCGAGCTGCGTCCCATTCACCTGGGAGCTCGTTTGGCTCGTTTGGAGTCCTGCCTGGAGTCCGGTCGGCGCCTGCACGGCCGATTCTCGCTCCTCACCCACCAGCCGCTCGACGACGTCGAAGAGCACCCACGCCCTGCCAGAGACTTCGGCGCTCGGCCCCCGAGATGCCGAGGGCGTCGCGTCGTCGCAGCCAGCATCGCAGCGCTGAAGAAGGCAGCCTCGGAGTCGAGAGCTCAAGGCTCGGCTTTGGTAATCCGCTTGGGCAAATGCGATTCTGTCCAGGCGTTTGGCATCCTGGCACATGGCACAAGATGGCACAAGATGGCACAAGATGGCACAAGATGGCACAAGATGGCACAAGCCGCTCATGCTCAAGCTACTCTAGCAAGTGTCCTCTGCGGAGGATTTTTGCCTCTCGGCGTACAAGCTGACGGCATAGGAAACCTGCCAAGAGCAAAATGTCTTGAGCACGCTGCGGTCTGAGTTCATCACGCCATCCATGGCCATCAAAGCGCCGTCGCCCAGGAGGGCCAAGGAGTTCCTGAGGCTCAAATGCCACACCGAGTTTTACAAATTCTCTGAGTGGGGCACGCGATGAAGCCACAAATAATCTGCATGCCTCAGGCAATCCCAATGTGAAGGAAACACTCTGCAACTTGCGTGCCTGTGAGGAGGCTGTTGACGCCTAGCATCAGCCAAAGCGTCCTTTCCTCACATGCCAACCCGTGCCAACACGTGCAAACACATTCCAACACGTGTCGACAGCACATGCTACCACGTGCCAACACGCGCCAACACGTTCTGACACTTGCCAACACCTGACAACACGTGCAAAACATGCCAACACATGCCACCACAGGCCAACACATGAAAACAGGTGCGAAAAATGCCGAAATATGCCAGCACGTGATCACACATGCTGCCAACACGTGCCAACAAGTGCCGACAGATGACAGGTGGATAACCAGCCCTGTCAACATCGAGCAAAGGGGCATGGCACATGCCAATACGTGCGCATGGTTAGCTTTGCTCCGAGTCGCGGTGTCGTTGCATCGGGTCCCGGTGCTGGCTAAACTGCCCTCGCCTGGCACGAGCGACGCCGTCCCTGCCGAGGCCGACGCTCGTGGCCTTCAAATCCCATGCAGGGGCCGACATGGGCGCAGCGCTGGCGGGCAGCTACAGCTAAAGTCGGCTAGTGATCCGGTTGTGACGATTACCAAACACTTCTGCATAGTCCACGCCAAAACATTGCCCTGACCGCACATCTGGCTTGGGCAAATGCTGAGAAGTGCTGCATGCCTACTCAGGCGCACCGAAATGAAGCAAACAACATGCACGTGCAAGCCGAAATGCCTCGACAATTGGTCAACCTCTGGGGCAATGAGAGAGCAATGTGCAGCTCAACTCTATCACCATTGCACTGCAACATTGGATTGGATGGTTGGCGCGTCATTTGGAGGGGGATCTGCGACTCCACAACAGGTAGGTTTTGTCTCCCCCAGGGCTGGCTTTTTTCGCGGGCTGGCTGGCATCCCGGCATCACTAGCCTCACCCTTGGCGGGGCTTGCCAGTTGGCTCTGATTGGGTGGCAGTTGGGAGTTGCTGGGGGCTGGTGTAACTTACGGGGGGGTTAGGCTGGCTTAGATCTTCATGAGGGTGGGTCTTGAGGTGGTTTGGGGTTGATTTACGCGAAGCAAAGGGCTGACATCCAGGCTGCTGTTGGGCGGGTTTAGGGTTGACTTTGGGTAAATTTGGGGTTGGCTTGGGAGCTGACTTGTATTCGGTGTGCTGCCGGTTAAGCGGGGGCTTTTAGGGTTGCTCAGGGATGTGGTTATGTGAGTTTTGGTCTCGCTTAGGATTCGTTTGGGGGCGCCTCAACCCCAAAACCACCTCAAGACCCACCCTCATGAAGATCTAAGCCAGCCTAACCCCCCCGTAAGTTACACCAGCCCCCAGCAACTCCCAACTGCCACCCAATCAGAGCCAACTGGCAAGCCCCGCCAAGGGTGAGGCTAGTGATGCCGGGATGCCAGCCAGCCAACCAACCAACTAACCCAAGGCAAAGAAACACCTCATCCCTCCACAACACATAAAACAAAAACCGCCAGTCCCGTTTTCTGACATTAGCACAACCTCCTTCAGACATCTACAGCTGTCAAGTCAACAAGCTGCCAATGGTCCCAAAAGCAAAAGCAGCTAGAAAGAGCTGGCCGAAGTGTACGGATCGTACGGATCGTACGGATCGTACGGCTCGTACGGCTCGTACGGCTTCTGGCATTTGAGATTTCTGAGATGTCATGCCCAGTTCGAGTGCGAGTTCCCTTTCTCGCCACGTCAGAGGTTGGCCGACTGAGCCGCGGCCTCCAGCAGCACAGAGCGCAGCCGTCCATACGCCTCACAGGCCTCCTCCTGCACGACGGGGTATGCAAACGGAAAAGAACAACCAGAAACCCCCCAAAAAAAGGACAAAAAAGGACAAAAAGAGCCGCACCACCGCACGCACTCGCCTGCAGCTCCAGGAAGCGGCTCGATTCCATGGGCATGGCTGCCAGCAGCGGCTCGAGCTCCTCCAGCGAGCCCAGCAGCGCCACGCAGGCGGACTCTCCAGTACCTCCACAGATCCAAAGCTCCAAAGCTCCAAAGATCCAAGCCCGTCTGCGTTTGCAATCGAAGCGAAGTTGTACCGTACCAGACTGTTCATACCGGGCATGCCGGGCATGCCGGGCATGCCGCACCAGCGCCTGGCCGGGCGAGCTGCTGCGTCAGCGCGGCGTTGGCGCGGCGCAGCTCTCGAAGCTCCTGGAACAAAACCAAGAAGCTCCCGAATAAGAAGCTAAGAAGCTGCTGGCTGACTCAGCGCTCGTGAGGAATTTGAGGGTCCCTAAGATTGCTTCGACTTGAGTGTTTCAGGATCCCACAGAATCTTCATGGGGTCAGAATCTTCATGGGTTCTGTGGAGACGTAATTTGGGGATCCGGCATGGGACGCGAACCCCAGAACCCGATTGCTGGATTCAACTTCCGAGATCAAGGATTCTCACATCAAGCGAAGCGAAAGGAAGCGACGTCGCTCGGGGGCGCTCGCCTGCGTCTCTGTGTCCGTCGCCCTGAGGGCCTGGACCTCTCGGCTGAGCTTCTCCATCATGCCTCCCACACCCTCAAATTGCCGCCCGTTTGCTTTCTGATTGCTTATTGCGGTTTTCGTGTTTATCTTTTTTCTGCTCTTTGATTGCCTTCCCATTGGTTTGCTCTTGGAATTGTTCTCGTTTTATGTTACTGTCTCTGTTGTAGGACAGTTTCGCACTTCTTGGGGTCGGCCTCACAAAATGCGCGACTGTCCCAAA